TAATATATTAAACGTTTAAGTTGGAAATGATTTTGCAAAAATTATGTCTGTCAGTTAGCCAGATTGTAGCACCTTCTTTGTAGAATCTTCTGCACTTATCGATTGGTTTCTTGTTCTTGTTGGCCACGTGCTGCCCCTTGGGGCCAGCATTCGTTATTGTGACGTAACAATGAAGTGACGCACAAATATATGTGTATGATGTCGGTAGTATTAGTCAATATACATACAGATATACTTATATACGAATAGTATATGTAGTTGAATACAAGCACAATTATAAGAAACAATTTCTAAAACCAGGGCATAAAGTCGAAGAAAACTATCGCAGCGCCATTAGTTAAGTGTATGTAAACATGAACATACATATGTATGTACAATTGTTTGCATATTTGCACTTGAACCACATATTAGATAACAGCTTTAGACGCAATGCGTATGAGTAACATCAACTGCGCGTCGTTAGGATATTGTGTTCGTGAGCCTGCGTGGCGTATGATGAACATGAATGAAAAGAACTTTCAATAAGCACATACAGTGGTGGGCATCCGATTAGAATTGGCTTGCTGGCTTTTAAAGTTTTTCATTGAAATTAATTATTTCAAGTCAGAAAATAATATGAAAAATACAATGTTTAGTTGTCATATTTTCAATATTTTTAGTTACTTTTATTTTTTATTGATGAAATTTATTTTTGCCAAGATTTTTGTTCATAAAATTTATTAATTATTTATGAATTTCTGTATGGAATGGTGAATAATTGATTTTCTTATTGAAAAACTACCATTAAGATTTATATTTTTATCGGTTTATTGTAGCTTGTTGCTTTTCTATTAGATAAAACATTCATAAAAATTTTACTAAAGGCAAAAGCTTTATTTGTACCCGTTTTGAGAACACTGAAAACGTCTTGTTTTGTTGAAAATTAATATAATTATTTGTAATATTTTAAATGGAACATTATTAACTAATTTTTAACATATATTTTAATATATTAAATTTATTAAATATTAAAATATTTCAGTTTTTAGAATTTGTAAAATAATTGAAAAAGAGAGCTCACAATTCTTTACTTCAATATGCAAACATTAGATAACTTTGATATTTACTAACCGTTAGATTTGGTTGGACATTTTTAAAATCATATTTTTATCTATTATCTCAAAACAGTAATTGCTTTGAAATATTATAAATATAATATATAACTTTAAAATTCTTTTTTTGCTAAACTATTTATTTATAATTATAATTTATGCAACTTGTAGGCAAAGTTTTCTTAAGTTAGAACAAAATTATTAATTTTACCAATAGGAAAAATATTATTTTAAAAAAATATCACTTAAAAAACCAAATTTTTTTAAATATATAATTTTTGGGCTTATCGAAGACCATGTACGCTTGTCATTCTACATTTATGTGGTTCAAAACTAAGCCAATAGCAATTTTTGTTACGACGGTCACTAAACGTCTTGATTTTTTGTGATACTTTAGTAACACTTACGTGCAATTACAAAAAAAAAAAAAAAAAAAAAAAATTATTATTATTGTTATAATTTATAAATATTTTAATTTTTTATTTATTAATAGCGCTTTATTAATATTTAAGAACGCATTTCTGAAGGGTAAAATATTTTATACAATATAATATAATTTTTACAAATTGGAATTAGAGATTAAAGCAGATTCACTCGATGCCAAGAAAAAATACTAATTATTAGTTATTTTAAAAATTTTTTCACGAGTTCAAACACACAATATGTTTGAATTTAATTAATTTTAATTTATATATTTATACAGACATAAAATTTATCTTTACAAATTTTGCAATTTTTCCAAGGCCTTGTCGGTCATTCACAGCATTTTTGATCTGCATAATAAATTTTATTGAATTATCCACTTTTTCGAAAAAATTCTGCTCTGCAAATGCGATATAAATTTATTTTTTCAGAAAAAAATGAATAATTTTTTCAGAACAAAAAAAAAATAACGATTTATAAATATTTTTGGTAAAAATTCTTGTTTGCAAATTTTTATTTTTTTCGCTTTTCTTCAACTCGCTTGAATGAGTTCTAAAATTAAACAAACACTTGTGCATATATAGCGACTGATCTGACTGTTGCCAACATGCATATGTATACATACCAAAATACATACAAATGAATTTATATACATGTAGACATATGTATTTACATATTTTAGTGTGTACTCTTGACGTCAGTTGATGGTGTTTTTTTTTCAAGGAATTTGAATAATTATATCACTTTTTAATCAACTTTTTTTCGCGATTTTACGGTAACAACACTTGAATTCACATTTTCTTGCATTTTCGTTTCAATATAATAAATAATTTATCAAGTTATTAATTTGGACTTATGACTCTTGAAAATGAACTTGCTTATACACATGTGTGTATGTATGTACATACCAAAGAAATTGATTGAAAAAAACTGTGAATTTATATGACTGTAAAGTATCTACATAATTCCAGCTTTGCTAACTGTGCGTTTATCTGAGTCAACGCTTGTGCAAAGAGGCGTAAACAAAAGCATTTCATTATTATTATAAATTGAAATTTGATACCAGTGCAATATGAACTTTAAATTGAACTGTGAAATTTTATACTATGTATGTA